TCCGCAAGACCAGTATCTGTAGAACACGTGAAGTTCCGCGTTAGAATTGATCTTCAGCGACCCTGCTCATGCTGTTGATCACTTGATTGTCTGGTCCAGATTCAATTATTTACAGACAATGCTGGTAAACTGTGTGGTGTTAAACAACAACAACAAAGAGAGAGTAACTCTAAATCGTTCTTCTCGTGAATACTGATCTATCACATGGAATTGTCGAAGTTATTTTGTTAAATACGCACATAAAAACGTATGATACTGAAAGATATAATTGATACGTTTTAACAAACATTACTTACATTTGTGTTTCCTTAGTCTGTCATACATTTACTATATCTAAAATGAAAAATTTAGGAACTGTTTTTTTTTCTGTAAAATATGTTTATTTCAGAAACCGGATGTTTGTCTAGTAGTTCCTGTAAAACTCTGATTCTTTGAGCACATATTTAAGAATACTGATGCACGATCACCTCCATCAAAACATCGTGTTATGTACACATACTGTTGTGTACAAACCCCTCTAGCAGGAAAAATCCTTTGCTATCATCACAACGGTTGCATACATGGTCTCATCCAAAATCAAAGACAAGTCTATCTGACTGCAACATTTATAATGAATACTTTACTGGACGTTGAGACGACCCCCATCAAGAGTTCACGCGAGAACTTCGGAGGCTGTGTATATGGCAGTGGAGAGGGCATGTAAAATTCATGCCACCACTGTGATGATCTTCACAGACTCCCAAGTCGAAGTAATTAGCTCCCGATAGCATAAAGGGTTTCATTTAAATATTAGAATGTGTTTTGGGCCGCGCCACAATGGTGCCCCACGAGTACCCTCCCTTCATGAACACGACATGACACCTTCTGCAAGGATCGGCCCTAATGCCTTGCCACTGTATTTATGATGAAGCTTAAACCTGGAGCGAAGTCACACTAAAAGTCTGATGAAGTCGCTGCGGGACTCTCAAGGCAAAAGTATGGGTCAGGGGGGCGTATAATGGTGTTGACAACTTATTTTATTGACAGTGTCGACGGGAGGCTTTGGGAAGGGTTTGGACGGGGCTGGTTGGTTTGTGCTTCATGACCTGGAATGACCTTGGACTGTTGTTGGATTTGTGTTGGCAGTTTGTGATCTCGGGTTGGTTGGTAGTTGAGGATTTTAGGTGGGATGGCGTTGAAAGTAAGGTATTGGGTTGGTTGGCGTCAGCCGATCTTGGGTGGGATGGTGTTGAACGGAAGATTGTTGGTAGGTAGTTGTGGATCTTGGGTGGGATGACGTTGAAAGTAAGCTATCGGGTTGGTTGGCGTCAGCCGATCTTGGGTGGGACGGCGTTGAACGGGAGATTGATGGGTTGGTTGGTAGGTAGTTGTGGATCTTGGGTGGGATGACGTTGAAAGTAAGGTATCGGGTTGGTTGTTGTTGGCCGATCTTGGGTGGGACGGCGTTGAACGTTGAACGGGAGATTGTTTTAGTTTGTTGGTAGGTAGGTGGTTGAGGATCTTAGGTGTGATGACCTTGAAAGTAAGGTATTGGGTTGGTTGGTAGTTGAGTATCTTGGGTGTGATGACCTTGAAAGTAAGGTATTGGGTTGGTTGGTAGTTGAGGATCTTGGGTGTGATGACCTTGAAAGTAAGGTATTGGGTTGGTTGGTAGTTAAGGATCTTGGCCGGGATGGCGTTGAAAGTAAGGTATTGGGTTGGTTGGTAGTTGAGGATCTTGAGTGGGTTGGCGTTGAAAGGATTGCTTTTGATTTCGTTGGCACTTTGTGACCTTGGCTTGGATGACAGTGAATGGAGCAGTTTTCGTTCTTTCAATTTTATATAATTTAGCATTATGATATAATTTTCGGTGGAATGATGTTGGATAGGTTTATTTTCAATCATCTTGTGTTGGACGGATCCTGTTAGTTGGGTTTGATGTTTAATAATCTTAGGATATTAAAGGATATATATTGTGTTGAATGCGTCTGACATTTGATTATATCCTAATCTATCCAATAGCTGTTCTTAAATATACACTAAACTACGCAATCAGTGAACCACGCGTATAACGAACTCGTCATAACCGCAGTTCGTTACACACAAATAATCCGAATCAGCAATAGGACAGAAATCCAGTTCCCTATATCCGTCAGTTCGGCATGTTTGATACAACGAATACAAAAGAGTGACAGAATACTGGGTATACAGGTGGTACCCAAACTATTAATCAGAAGGCAGGGTAGAGACGTTGCTAGTCAAAACAATCTTTTTATGTATTGTTGACCGGACAGAAAACTGTCTGAAATGTCTATTTTCAAATCTGGCTTTAGTCTGTTTTTAGGCATATAGAATATAGACAAATTTCTATAATAGGCTCTCTGGCAGACGATCACTCTGACGGCCATAAGGAAAATGAACATGATGTACATGCCAAAATGTCAACTGCCTTCAAGTCGAAATGGAAAATTGCTTGCTTCTTTAGTTAATTCCTCTAAAGGCTGCATCAACAATCTTCTCCTCACCTAGGTGGTCTTCTTCAAATCACTTCTTTAGATCCAGAGTAATTTTCCTATGCGAATGCACAATGCCTCCAGTTTTACTGCCATACGAGTTATTTTAGTACGATAAATCCCCGATGGCTTGGTTCAGTCGAGCGACATAGACAACGCACGATGAATGTTTAGTTATTGAACACCGACATGAGAGAAACCCATGATAAAATAGCCGACGGTGTTAAAGCCAATGAATAAACAACGACGTTGTAATACCACTGATGCCATACGACAGCGGACGAGTGTCTTACTTATATCAGCATCAATACAAACCTCTTTACGATGGAATATGCTTGTTTGCTTACATGTTTTACGAGTACAGAATTAGGACCTAGAATGTTCGACAATCCGTGGTCCACTCAGCTACCGCTATTTTCAGAACCGTACAATACACTTTGCTTTTAGCAGACATTTGTTTTGAATATGGATAGAGTTTCATTTTTAATTTTTTAGCTGTTTTGATTTCGAGGACAACAACTAATCATCCAAGCAAGATGATGCTGTTGGTATTTGTAACAGAAATATTTCCTTGCTGAAAAATTGTTATTTCTTTTTATCGCATTGGTTCGATGTGAGACACAGGTGTTCTCATGTTTCGGAAACGGGTAGTTTTACTCTGACTTCCCAGTTTGGACTGCGGCTGCAGAAAGTGATGTCATTGTGGGGAGATGTTGATCATTACGCATCCTCACACTGTCGCCAGGCAGCGATCGACTTGGAATTGTACGGATATTGTTTCTTGGCTACCGGAAGTGACGACATGGATACGTCGGATAAGCTAGAAAAGATCTTACATTTGCGCAGCATGTATCCGTAACAGTAAGCTACGTTTGTAACGAACTGAAGGGACCACTAAATTTAGTTCGTAATAACGGTAGTTCGTTATACCCATTTCGACTAAAATATACACTGTCAGCAAGCGAGGAGAACCAAATAACAGTTCGTTATAACCGATATCCGATATAAGAATGTCCATCGACTGCACCTGATTTGGAATGTCGCCAATACGTAATTAGAAAACTGAGCTCAAACTGTCCCCGATAATATTGAAAGCAGAGAAGGTCTTATTAGGAATCATTCTTCTGTCGCATTGTGCTGGCGACAATACACTTCGCGACACATTTCCATAAGAAAACCATCTGCACATTACACTTACGATGCCTCGGGTGAGTTCCTTTGATTGGTCAATGAAGTCTAATATTCGTTGAAAAAGTGAAAGATCAATGACTTCCGCCTCCGGTTCAGAAATTCACAAGCGCCGCCATCTTGGATTGCTAGAAGAGTGTCTCAAAAGTAGAGCGAGAGCCTCTTTGTTTGTTTGTAAGCAAACAACACTCGGAAGACCTCGGGCAATTCCGCCACCTTGAGTCAGATACATGCCTGACTTGCAGCGCTCATTTACAATCGGCAAGAATCGGGAATCGATTGTTAAACTCAGATTATCCGTGGTCTGTAATAATGTGGAACACGAGTACCTCCGTCAACTGTCAATTTACTTTGTATCGAGTTTGTGTGAGCTTGATGAAATTACAATCCTTTAAATGCTGATTGTATGCCCAAATACCCATTCTGTATTGGAGAGCGCTACTACCTCGTTTGACAACATGTCTAATGGCTTTAGAATCGATAGAGTCTTGGTTAACACTGATGCGCGATTGTACGCTTCGGCGTATTAGATTGGTTGCAACCATAATCATGTCATATGTATAGTCCTGCGGGTTTGTCAGTGTTCTGCTTAATCTGTAACGCCAATAAGGACAAACATCACATTTGTGTTTCCTGCCCAGTCTGTGTACAATTCTGTGTTTGAATTTCCGCGATTTAGGTTTGTAAACCCCTTGATACATTCCCATGTATTTTGATCGAAATTAATTTAACCATTTACGATATATGTATGCATACGAGGCTAAATGGCGCTGCAAGGAATGTCTACTAAGCGTTAACATCCACTGCCATTGTACTTATTGTATTAGCAATGTATTAGATAACGATAGCACCAGTGGCACCTTTGTCCATCCCACGGTTAGACCAGAAATCTGTTGTACATGAACGAAAATGGAGCTTGACCAGGGTGAAAGTCGGTTCAAGTGGATGTAGCAGGAGAGGGTAAAGCTACAAAGCATATTGATCATCGTTTTGTTGGTTTAATTCTCTATAACGGTACATGTGTGTTGCAATTGTTCGTATAATTGTTCAACCTACCATGTTTAACATTTAATATCACTCAGTGTCAGTCACTGGGAAACTACAGTCACACCCACATCAAAAACAAACGTTTGAATCACACCCCTGTCCTCATCACAATCAGACAGCGGGAAACCAAACGCCCCAATCGATCAGACAGTCAACGATACACTAAAGTCCCCATCAAAGTCAGACAGTTGCAAATCTGTCAGACAGTTGACAGCCTTATCACAGTCAAAGACACATGCATGCCCCAACGTATGTCAGACAATCTCAACCAACATGAAACCACACGTCCTGTTACGGTCAGTCAAAACCACACGCCCCCATCACAGTCAGAGGGTCGCAAGCCACACGCCCCTCCCACAGTCAGAGAGCCCCAAGCCACACGCCCCTATCACAGTCAGAGAGTCCCAAGCCACACGCCCCTACCACAGTCAGAGAGTCCCAAGCAACACGCCCCTACCACAGTCAGAGCGACCCAAGCCACACGCCCATCACTGTCAGAGAGCAACACGCCTTTACCACAGTCACAGAGTCCCAAACCACACGCCCCTTCCACAATCAGAGAGTCCCAAGCCACACGCCCCTCCCACAGTCACAGAGTCCCAAGCCACACGCCCCTACCACAGTCAGAGAGTCTCAAGCCACACGCCCCAACAACAGTCACAGACCCAAGCCACACGCCCCTACCACAGTCAGAGGGTCGCAAGGCACACGCCCCTCCCACAGTCAGAGAGTCCCAAGCAACACCCCCATCACAGTCAGAGAGTCCCAAGCCACACGTCCCTACCACAGTCAGAGAGTCCCAAGCCACACGCCCCTACCACAGTCAGAGTGTTCCAAGCAACACGCCCATACCAGTCAGAGAGCCCCAAGCCACACGCCCCTACCACAGTCAGAGAGCTCCAAGCCACACGCTCCTACCACAGTCAGAACGTCCCAAGCCACACGCCCCTACCACAGTCAGAGTCCCAAGCCACACACCCAGCCCCCGCCATCACAGTCAGAGAGTCCCATGCCACACGTCCCTACCACAGTCAGAGAGTTCCAAGCCACACCCCCATCACAGTCAGAGAGTCCCAAGCCACACGCCCTACCACAGTCAGAGTCCCAAGCCACCCCCCACCTTCCCACACACACACCCACACACACACCCCATCACAGTCAGAGAGTCCCAGCCACACGTCCCTACCAGTCAGTCAGGGAGGACCCATGGAGATGATGCTTCAATGATCCCAGGACTAGTCATTCTGACCTCACTTCAACCGTCTTATGGCTGTATGTACTTGATTAAATCCCGCAATCTTAATGTATCTGCGTTTATTTCATTCACAAAACACATATGGCAGTTACAGATCGAACACGTGACCTATGACTGAGTCTGCCTTTCTGAGTTTTTTTTGTGACGAAACATCGTAATACGTCATTCCACCATTCCCAATCATAAAAAAACACAGAAGAAACGTGACTGACACCTCGACAGTCAACGATATCCGTGAATATCCGGGTTAGAATTGATCTTCAGCAATCCTTGCTAGGCCGCTAACGGGATCGGGTAGTCAGGCTCACTGACTTGATTGCCATGGCATCGTATCCCAATTGCGTGGGTCGACGCTCACGATGTTAATCACTCCATTGTCTGGTCCAGGCTTGATTGGGCTGTGGGGTAGCCCAGTAGTGAAAGCATTCGCTCGTCACGCCAAAGGAACGTTTTCGATTCCCCACATGGATGCAATACGTGAAGCCCATTTCTAGTGTCCCCGCCGTGATATTTCTGGAATATTGCAACAAGCGGCGTAAAACTAAACTCACTCACTCAAGGCTTGATTATTTACGGAAAGCCGGATTATTGCTGAGTGTCGCGTCAACAACATACAATAAATCAAACCTGTATAATAAGCGACATTCCGCCATTTCCACCTTCATAACAAACATGAACATGGCTCACCAATTCCTGCTGAAACAATGGCTGGAGGAAAGCACCGTTAATACCACTATAGCAGTTAAGTGATGAACGAAATGATCAACATCCTCCGTACTCACAATACAAGACGGCCATTATCACCGTTCCTCCGACCGCATGTTTCCTCGTCCGGGTAATTGATAAGTGAAACAGACAGAAACAAAAGATATATTCATTGTATGTCCTTGGCGAGGCAGAGTCGGATGGGCGTGGCTGAGAACGCTGCACGTGCTGACCCACGTCTACACGACATCACCCACGACAGAATACAGCTGAATGTGTACTGGACTGAACTGAAATGACTCTATACAAAAAACACTTTCCTTACAACTAGTCTCACTGTAAGTAATTAATGCCAACCACTCAAGCGAGCCTTTTAAGTGCAGATGGTATTGTGATGAAACGTGTGTCTGTGTGTACCTACATGCGTGCGTGCGTACGAGCGAGCGCGCGTACGTGCCTGCCCGCGTGCGTGCGTGCGTGTTCAACAAACAACTAACGATATTACTTATGACAAATTATAGTGTATTCATTACCGATTTGTTATTCAAAGAATAAGTTCAAGTTTTCTCAATATCTTCATAAAACTAGCAATTCCATATTTTCATAGAAAGTAGCTATAACCAATAATTGTTCCCCAAATTATTCAAATTGCAATTTTGAACACTGACATCATGAAATAATAACGTAGTTGGCACACAGCTACAAACACTCAACGATCTTGAAAAGATCTGAGAAATATTAGGTTTTTGAGACAAAGTGGACGTCAAAACACACAGCTGTCAAGAATCCATTCCGTTTAAGATTAATATTTATTCTGCTTAATGCTTTTGAACTTCAAAGATTCCAAGCCAGGTTGCTAAGCTTTCTGGTCAAAGATAATTGATCTGGCGTACCAAGTCAAATGTCTCTACCTTAATAGAAGATATGAGTGGTCGCAGTGTTGCCTGGCACAGACACTGCATTAAGCGTGCTTTGAAATCTGTTTGTGACGGATTACAATGAGACCTCGCGTGAGACAATCACCGCAGTTATAATGGAAATGGAAGATTAATTAGTTAGCAGAAAATATCTTGGTAATGTTATTTCGTGCAACCGGTAGTCTGATGCTGAGTGTATTTGTGGGGCAAAATAGATCTCTCTGGCCAAAGTGACCTACGAATTAATCATCTGGAATGAATGGACGCGGTTACTTAACTGAGTAAGTGGTAACTGAAAAGCAGAGGTGAGGGTGAGGAAATGGCTTTACGTCGCGTTCCGGATGAGGATGTTTGCGAGCGTGCGGTGCGAGCGAACAAGCCGGCGTGCGTGCGTGCAAGTATATGTCTGCGTATCTTGGTCTGTTTTTACGACCGCCTCCGTGGTGAAGTGGTTAGAGCGTCCGGAGTGCGGAAGGTCGCGGGTTCGTTCCCCGACCGCGTCATACCAAAAGACGTTAAAATATGGTACTTGTTGGTCCCTGCCTGGGTACATCAAGGACTGGTCGGCTCGGAGTCAGTATAATGTGTCTGAGTGGGGTATTCATGCTTCACTACGGCATGGTATCTCAGTGGGCTAGCACTAAAAAAACAGCTTCAGTCTGGGCTAGTACAAGCAGCCGCATACACATGCATGCACGTCGCCATATGAGCGAAATATTCTCAAGCAAGACGTTAAACCCAAGTTCACTTTACCTCACCTTTTACGACGGTTTTAGGGCACTAAAATACTCTGACATAATCTACCGGCTCCGAGTTGACCTGTCCCTGTTTTATCCTCTGAATGCCGAACACCAGACAGGGTAACATCATGCATCGCATTTTAAAGATTTATCTTTTACTACGATGCCGCCGTGATCAACCATTGGCCTCCTACCTGGGTAGACGCTGGGTGGCCCAGTATATCAAGTTAATGTTTGACGAGACGGATTCGTTTCCGCGTTTTACCAAACTAACCCAAGGAACGGCAGCAGCATCTGAACCAAGTATTCAAAATTCGAGTGTTCAGTAAACTGAACAATCACTGAACCAGAGAGTACCCGTGAAGGTCCGGGTTAGAATATTGATCTTCAGTAACCCATACTTGTCGTAAGAGGCGACTAACGGGATCTGGTGGTCAGGCTTGCTGACTTTGTTGACACATGTCATCGGTTCCCAATTGCACAGATCGATGCTCATGCTGTTGATTACTGGATTGTCTGGTCCAGACTCGATTATTTATAGACCGCCGCCATCTAGCTGGAAAATTGCTGAGTGCGGCGTAAAACTCAACTCACTCACTGACTGAACCAGAGAGCGGCACCAGGATCTGAACAATGAAACAAATGTTTATACTATGTGATAAATCTAAGAAGGGAATTGGGATCAGAACCAGGGAAATACCATATATAGGACGGGGGAACTGACCTGAACAAGAACTGAAAAGAAACTGAATTGAACTTGAGACTGAACCAAGGAACACTGAATTGAACCACGGACTGAATGACAAGCTGAACCTTGGAACACCGAATTGAATTATGGACTGTATGGATGAATGCATAATTGTTGAGTTACGTCGCATCAGTAATATTACAGCTATTCGCGACGAAATGGGCTGTATGAATTGCTGAACCGGGGAAGACTGGACTGAACCATGGACTGAACTAAAGGCTAAACCGGGGAAGACTTAAGTTAACAACGGACTGAACTAAAGGCTGAACCGGGGAAGACTGAAGTTCACAACGGACTGAATTAAAGGCTGTACCAGGGAAGATTGAATTGAACCACAGACTGAACTAAAGGCTGAACTGGGGGGGACTGAACTGATTCACGCATTGAACTGAAGGCTGAACCGGGGAAGACTGAACTGAACCACGTACTGAACTAAAGGTTCAACCGGCGAAGACTGGACTGAACCACGGACTGAACTAAAGGCTGAACCGGGGAAGACTGAACTGAACCATGGACTGAACTAAAGGCATAACTGGGAACACTGAATTGAAGCATGGACTGAATGAGAAGCTGAATCATGGAACACTGCATTGAACTATGGACTGAATTATAGTCTTCACCAGGGAACACTGAACTGAACCACGGACTGAACTAAAGGCTGAACCTGGTAAATCTGGAGTTACTGAACCAGGTAGATACATATGGAACTGACCAAGGGAAATATCGGGCACAGAACCAGTTAATCAAACCAGAAAGTGAACCTCTGAACTATCACATCTGATGACTGTATATGTCAGGAGAGTAACGCATATCGAGCAAGGGAGCGCTCAGATGGCGCTCCCCAAGGCACTGATGTCGGGCCTTCCTATAATACACTGATCACTTAAGTAGAGTGTCGCACAGTTAGACAGGAAAATGTCTTCGATTTCATCAAATTCCATTTGTAACGGACTGCACTGAAACTAATGTAACATCGATTTGAATACGTCAATCAAATCAATATGGTCACTCTACACCATCGCGCCGCTACCATAGAAAGATAATCCTCCACGACCAACAATAGTGGACATCTTCAGAAAGCCTGTCAGGGGCAGGAACTCAGCCAGTAAAATGGGCTAATTAACCTGTCTGAGAATCGATGTCCATGTGTGGAGCCCTCAGCATTAATCCAGTAACGGAGCCCCGAATGGTCTTTTAAATGTTATTACAATTTCTCCCGGGGGCGCCAGACACTCAATATACTTGTTTTGTCTATAGTGACGGGGGGTATTCTGGGTGAGGGGAAAGGTAAGCAGCGACCGAGGTTGAGAAGGGCAAGATATTGTCACACGTCGCTCGGAAACACCTGCACCCCTGTGCCAGATATTACACTCAGCTGGAGCGAACGAGCGTAGATAGTTAAACCGGACTCGTCACATCATCAGATCACGTCAATGGTATGTTGACTGCAGTACCAACAGTTCAGCGTGTCAATATCCATCAGGAATGAGTACTTTCGGGTTAACACAGCCTTGAACAGTATTTTATTTATATCACCTTGTAAGCTTTATGTGGGAAGAAAACCAAATCTGACGCAAAGCCTATAACACTTTGAACAGTGTGAATGTGGCTCTGAGGTCCCTAGAAAGACGATCAGGATTAATTTGGGATTTGAACCCATGAACATAAGATTCTGGCAAAGAAAATTAGAGTGCCTTTAACGATCCACCCGTGATCACCCGTAACCATCCATCTATGAATTTATCAAGGTAATATCATACAACGAGCGGGTCTGTTCTCCTTCTGAATAGCAAACTTCCACGTGTTTCACGAGTTTCAAAGAAATTTACAAAACATACATCCACGAAGGACAAATGATGTCT